TTGTGTGTGTTTAATAATGTTAAAATGTAGTAAATATAATGTAACGTAATGTAAATTTTATCAATAAGACTGACAAAATCCATTGGCACTACTGGAATCGGCTTACTGCTGCGTGAGCAGACGTCATGCATTCTTAAATGTTCTACAGTCGGTGGCGCTGTGGACTGGGTCGCTCCGTTCCCTACGAAATGGTTGATCGGATCGATTGCTGGCCCTCACGTCATGCTCGTGAACGGGCGCCTTCTGCTGGAGCAGGTCGGCTCGCTCATCGCGCGTGTGGGCCGATCCAGTAAGGTTAATGTAAATGTAATAAAACATGTATTGTGTATATATAAATATTAGATTTAGACACAACCTTCTTTGTGAAAAAAAAAAAAAAAAAAAGTACCATAATGTTCACCTCTGCCTTCCACTTCGGGAATAAAAGGCGTGGAGTTATGTTATGTTACTAGCTTTTCCAAAAATAACTGCGGGGCCGTAATTAATTTATTTATCTATGGTAAACATTGTACAAATTCAGGTAAACTGTAAGTATCTGTATTTTAGTTCTATCCAGAATTTTTCAGTCAGTTTAGATGTCCCTGTAAGTTAGACTGCACGGTTGGCGCGGTGGCTGGGCAACTGGCTGCCGCCGAACGTGTCGCGGGTTCGATTCCCGCACGGAACAACACTTTATGTGCTCCACTGATTGTTCCGGGTCTGGATCTAATGTGTATGTGAACTTGTATGTTTGTAAACACACCCACGACACTGGAGAAAATCCTAGTGTGGGGCAACTATTAAAAAAAAGTGTGTATCTTGAAATCAGTATGGGAAGCGAACCTTATATTGCTTTACAGTAAGTAACTCTTGCAATCACTCCAGCAACGAAGCAATATTGGTTATTAATATTCTTTATTTAACATATTTTATCTAGATAGCCTTTTATCCCCGAACCCAATCCCTGAATCCCCAACGATCCTTAAACTTCTAATCCCCAAAAGGCCGGTATTACGCACTTGTAACGCCTTTGCTGTTCCAGATGTCCATGGACAATGCCGATTGCTTACCATCAGGTGATCCGTCTGCTCGTTTACCGGCTTATGCAATAAAAAAAAAATAACATAACTCCACGCCTTTTATTCCCGAAGTGGAAGGCAGAGGTGAACATTACGGCACTTAATGCTACTGTACAAAGTAACACCCACTTTTCACTATATATTTTATGAGTTCCATGTAATAGGGGGTGAGCCTGTTGTCATATACCGGACACATTTCCAGACTCCGTACTACTACTGAGAATTTTTTAAAAACCCAGTAATACTTTGCCCGACCCGGGAATCGAACCCGAGACCCCTTGCTCGGCAGTCGCACTTGCGACCAATCAGCCAACGAGGCAGTCTTTATTTACCATGTTTTAATATAGATAGTGTATCTACTTAAGTCTATAATAATATGTTCTTGTAACCAGTTACGTCTTCCAATCACTTTACCTGAAGACTAATGAACTGGTTATATTCAGACAATGAGATTCCTGATGAATCAGGTACTTGCCAACTTGATCGCTTCTAATTCCTAAACTTTGTAACCATGAAGTTAATTTGTTTCTTCGTCCAGGTACAAGATTTTTACTACTTTTAGTGTACTAGAAAATTTAAAATGCAAATCAATAAATTAAAGTTTTAAAAATTCGCAGGTATATAACACAATTGATTACAACTTCAAACACTGTGTTTTTAATTAAAAATAAAGAACTGAATAAGTAAATAATTCTTTAATTGACCCGGGAATAAAATATTATTGACATTGTTCACAGTCGTTACCGGTCGCCCAAATTAAGCAATCCAAAGATAAACGACTTTATTACTATAAAGTTTTTTATCTTGTTTTTAAAACTATAACACCTATTACCTTCTTACTCTTTTACAACATATTAATCACTTAGATGGAAATTACAGTATCAAAACTCGAAAATTAGGTCACACACATAATTACCATATAATTTCCAAAAAGCATTTGACTTGAATCGAAAATCGCAAGTCATTGCGTCTAATCGTGTGGAAATTTTCATTAAAAGTTCACATGGAGCCTAATTTGTGGGTAAATTGGGGTGCAGAACATTGGAGCTTCGTCGATCAATCGTGGGGCCCCTGATTCTTTGCAACTGCAGCGCGGTACCCCTGTTACAAGTATAGCTGGAGGAACGGGCCCCGGCGTACGGCATTCGACGACCAGCCGCCACCGGAGCCACCCGCTTACCAGGTACCCACAACTTCTCTAAGCTTGTACGATACCGCCATTCCAAATTTAAATTCGCAAACCCGTTGAATTAAATTCGAATATTAAATGTTTTTTAATTTTATTTCATTTCGTTTTTTTTTATTTTTTTTTTGTTGTGTCCGATTGTTTAATATTTGAAGTGTACGATTTATAATTTCGATTACTAAATGTAGTGTTGATAAAAGTTTCGAAAGTGTTCAAATGTAAGGAAAACTGTAGGGAAGTATTTTTGTGAGTTAAAAAGTTTCATATGGGCGTTGTAAGGAGTTTGGGGCTTCGTAAAACTTTGCTCTAAGATCTTAATCTCCGTGGCTGTGGGAATTACATGCGCGTGCCCCATATCGCATGATTAAGTGCTACCCTTACTAGTTTGAACCTAAAATGATTTATTTTACGCAATATGTACGTCCACTGACACGTTTTCTTGTAATATAACGTTAAGAAAATAACGTTAAATTGTTCTTAAGATTCACGTTTAAAAATATTTTTGTTCCTCTTTGTAGTGACTGCGTTAATTTGATTTTGTTTTAAAATAATTGTGCGTCACATTTTTTATGAAAATCGTTTTACTCGCAATATTTTTTAAATTTTTCTGGAAGTGATCGGAAAATTTATATAAAATTAAACGAAAGACATGAGTGGTTTAACGTAACAAAGTCAGGCGCGTATTTAAACAAAAAAAATAATTAAAGTAATTCCATTATATAAAAACGTCGTAAAATTAAAAAGTTTCAAATTTAGAATTATTACTTTTTAAACATTGCGTGCGAGCAAAAGTGCTGCGTTCTAAGTTATAAAATTCTATTCTCATGAGACAGAAATTTTAGTAGAAATTTCTTTTGTATTGTACTTTTAGTTATATCGCAGTCCGCCCTACATTCCTCAGGGCGGATTACGCAAGACGGCAAGAACGGGGGACAAGGGAATTTCATTCCCCAGTTAGAAAACACTTAAAAGAAACTTTTCTTAGCCTTAAAACCGGGTTATTTGGAAAAAAACCTTTATAACCGGCCATAAATGTATCGATTTAGGTAAAAATATGGTTTTTATGCGCATAAAAATGCTATAAATTTATGAAAGGGCCTCAATCGGTTTTGGGAGACCAGTTTAAATGTGTATGGTCCTTTCTAATATAAATTCATAGCAGCCGTAAATAAATTGGTATTTTATATTATGTACAAAGGGCGTAGGGTTCAAGAGTTATGGAGTTATGTGAAAACATATAAAAGGGGTATGGATTTAGGAGTTATAATTGGGTAATTATATGACGTTGAGCAGCTTTATTTATAAGTTACAGTAGTAATTAAAATCGCTTCAGTTTCTTATAAATTAGTGCTGTACTGCGGACTATTTTAAAATTTTTACTGGCGTGATTGTAATATTTTAAGTTTTTACGATTATGGTTTTTAAATTAGGTAGCTATGTGATTTATTTTGCTTAGTCTTAAATTTTCTTTGTTACCTAATTATTCATTACTTTTATTTTTACTAGCCGCATTGACCACATTTTTATTTAATCAGCATTAAAATAAAGAAAAAAACTTTCATAAAATAAAATAAACGAAATTAAAAAAGAAATACGAGTAAAATATTAGGAAACTAAAATAAAATGTGACAAAATAATAAATAAGTTAATGAAATTTATCAGTTTTTTCTAATTAAATTTTATAGGTAAATTATTTCTATACAAAAAAGGTCTCAATATTATTTCTATTTTAATTTAACCTTCCTTGTTTAACAGTCTCGCTTACGACTGCCATCCCGACGAGCTCGGCAAAATTGATCTCTTAAGTCCAACTGTTATAGTATCAAGATAGCTCGACCCTACTATAGACCCGCCATTTTGTCGCAAACAAGATCTTACAGACCTTTCTATCAAGTATCAAGATTGCATCTAATGGATTATTTTTACTGAGTTCCTAGTATCTATAATGATATAATTTCCACAATCTAGACCCGGGTATGTTTATGTCCTAAAACTACAACCAGCCTCAGTAGGGTGAGCAGTAGTAACCACCCATACACCTACAAAATTTTCAGTGATTTTAAAATTTGCAATCCCCAAGTCGATAATATTGTGAACCCCTTCTAAAAGGATGGCTGATGAATTTCTTTCAGTATATTGCAATAGGTTTGTTCCTTTTTATACATTAGGTGTTATGACATCGCAGAGAACCTAACGGGTTACCGGGGCTCCGGCTCGAAGCGCAGGAGAAGGAACGGGGTAGTTTTTAGTCAGTAAGAGACTGACGACTGACACTCCCTCCCGCCTCACCCAGGCAGGAGCTGTAATTCGATGACTTTCCCCACTTAAAAAAATGACATAACAGGTGCAAATATGTGTCACGTTCACTGCGTCTCTGCCTACTCCGTAAGGAAATAAAAATCGATATTAATATTTTATTTTTTTTTACTAAACCATTGACTTACTTACTTTAGGAACGGAGAAAACTTGTAATACGTTTTATTATTTAAATTGAAAATGAGAAAACAAGAAAGTAAATAAATATGTACAAATTAAAATAAACTTAAATTAAAACTGTAAATAAAAAACGTATTATTATGTAGGTATGTTCATAGCCATACCTATTCCGAGAAAAAAAAATATAAAAATAATTGACAACCCTTCAAAATAAGGAGTGGTGTATTCTGTCCAGTGAAATATCTTTTTCCAAATCTTCCATTTCCCATTTCAATTTCTACGGATTCCACGTTTAATGGGAAATACAATTTCAATTTCGTTTTTATGAAAAAAGAAAAAAAATGCCGCGTCCAATAAAATTATTTTTTATCCTCGAATGGGATCTGGGGCTTTCTTTTATTGGGGTCCGTATTGAATTTATAATAATGACTGCAGGGTTAATTAGCAATATGGCGTCCATGTGTTTTTATAGGTCCTGTAGGTCTAATGGACCTATTAGTAGACTGGCTTTTTCATAGTGTGTGTGTGTTAAAGATATTATTGTTTGAGAATGTTATTTCTTGGGGTAATTTGGTAGTATCGCTGTTGCTAAACGAAATTTAAAATAATCTCTTTTTCAGTTTTAACAATAAGGCACGTTTTGAAATGAAACCAACTAGTTAAAGATAAAATCAAGTAAGAAAAGTGTCAGTCTACCAGTCAATTCGCTGGTGAAGTTATTAGCTCGTTCTAAAGTTTCCGATCTAGGTTCTTTATAGACAAAAGAACAGGAAACTCCAAAGTCACTCTTTTTAATTGGTTTTTTAACTGTAATGTGGTTTTTACTTAGTTAATCGACCTTCTCTAAGTAGGTATTAAAATAATAAGGTGTCTTAAGCAACGGCCAATAAATAGATGCTAATTTTAAGACCTATGGTAAATGTAATAAGGACGGATTTACTACATCAAAAGTGCCATGTCAATATCAATGTTTCTACGCCATCTTTAAAAGCTAGTAGAAGAACTCTTGAGCCACTATATCTGCCTATTTTCCCAAACAGACGCTACGTCATCATCGGCCGTTAATATTCAAAAATTTAAAATAAAATTTTCAAACATCTATCGCTGTTAGAAGGCAAGCTGCCGCCATAATAATATTTTTATTGGACAGCCGAAGGTTTGGTGCATCGCTTTTATCGAAAATGAAATTTGCAAAGTAGGTCGTATAGCTATTTAGTTTAAAGTAGATTTTGTTTCGGATAAACTTTGACTAGATGAGAAAAATATAAACGTGGTCTTTAGGAACTCCGTATTACACTTTTTAACCGACTAAAAAAAAGAGGTTATTAGTTTGACCTGTATGTCATGTGTTTGTGCGCAATCAACTCGCGATAGGCGGAACTGATTTTGATGTGGTTTTCAGAAAAGTATTTGTTAGACTTAGGAGGTTTGAGTATATTAATTAGGTACTCAATTTAAAAGAAGAGGGGGTTAAAGTCAGTTTTTTTAACGTAGTTTATTAACCAGAGTAATAAAAGTTAGTTTGTGAAAATGTGTGAATTTTTTTTATCCTCGAATGGGGTCTGAGGCTTTCTTTTATTGGGGTTCGTATTGAATTTATAATAATGACTGCAGGGTTGATTAGCAATATGGCGTCCATGTGTTTTTAAAGGTCCTGTAGGTCTAATGGACCTATTAGTAAACTGGCTTTTTGAGAGAGTTGAAGTCGGTATTTTTTAAACGTAGTTTATTAACCACATTTTAATGAAGATTATACTGTAGGCGGAATTTAGAAATTTTTCAAATATTCTATTGAATTTTGCATTTTGCGGAGATACGGCACAAATGCAAAAAAAAAGCTTACAAAAGAGAACTTAGTATTTCCATTTCGTAATCCATATATTTTAGTAGCTATTACTATAGCTAGCTATAGCTAAAGCCGATCCAAAAATAACTATTATGGAACCATGTAATATCGAAATGCTCTCTCCATTCGTCTTTACATTCAGTGCGCAAAAATCTCTCGATGCCAAAATGAATTTTTCATCTGCATTACATTACTCGATTCGAGAGTTTTTTTTCATAATCGATTCCATTTTCCGTACTCGATTCTCGGAATCCTGTATCGATAATTGAATCGTAATGTGCCTGTAAAAAGAGCACGCGATCAGTCGCTTGAAGTTAGACATTCGTTTTTCAAGTCTAAAGTTCAAATTAATTTGCTTCGCACGAAGTTTTCTTGGAATCTTTTATCGTTTTCTTTTATTGGAAGTGTGTGTTTATGGAGAAAACGTGATTCTTCGTTTTCTGTTAGAATAGGCTGCCGTCTTTAATAAAATTAGTTTCTATATGTTATTACATTTTGTATGGGATTTTACATTTTAAACGTATGTAATGAAGTTGGCTTTTGTAACTCATATTTAAATTCAAAATAAACTTCAATAAAGCAACCTGAAAAAAAAACACAAATAATTTGAATACCGGAAAAGAATTCCAGTGTTGATCAATATGCAGCCACAATTTTTATATTTATAAGATTCACAGGTTACGCCCATCGTATTAAAGATACCACTAAGTGCTTCCATTCATACCCAAAAAACACCCAATTTTCCAACCATAGCCATTAAAAAGAAAGCATATAGAACATTTATCATGGGGTAAAAAAGGCCGAAGAAAAATATTGGCAGGTTGATAAATTTGAGGTGCGTTTGGTAGAACAGCGTTAAAAATATTAAGTCAACCTCCAGGGGATGTAGAAAAGATTGCAAAAGATAAAGATAAAACATTAGTCAGACTTCGTACTGAATTTATGGACTGTCAAAGAATTCAAAAGAGATTCACAGAAACGGTGTCGTGTGGGACCGAATGGAAAGTTGAAAGAGAATAGTCCAATTAAAGCGTGTCAAACAAAAATGTGCTTTAAAGACTCCGTTTTGGAATTGTTTTTTTGATGATGTTTTGGTCTATGTGGATCAAAGGACCATGACATATTTTGTTCAACCACAATTTAATGAGATTGCACTTCTTTATTTCGGCTTTCGTTAATGTGACTAAGTACCTGGTATCACAATCAATTAAATGCCGTACCAAAAAGTCAGGGTAAAAAGTATTCGAGCCCGTAGCAGCACGACAGTCACCGCGTCGCAGGTCGCGAAATGCTGCTCATGAATATGAGCCTCTAGCATGGCTTGAAACTAGCCGAGTTTTCCGTTAAATAATTACGTGAGTAAGCCGAAAACAAAATAATTTATTTAATATGTCTCACGAAAGTTATAATACAGAAAGTATTCTGTCGATATTAGTCGTAGTATTTTTTTGTGCCATAAGTATGTTCTTGAAGAACTTACTAATTAGACTAGAGTTTATGAGACCTCTGTCTTGTCTATCTTCTGGGTTAGTTAAATTATTATTTGCTACAAGTAAAAGTATAAGGTCTATTATTATTAGCTTTCTACCACTAACCAGACTTGATTTTGGATTTAATCAGCTTGACTTTCATCATCATCAACTGCGTATAAGCCTCTGCTGAGCAAAGCCTCTTCTCACACGGAGAAGGTTTGAGCATTAATCACCACGCTTGCTCATTACGGGTAGGCGACTTCAAACTTATGTATAATTAGAAATTATTATATATATGCCCAGGTTTTCTTACGACGTTTTCTTTCACCGTTTGTCAGTGGTGTTTAAATAATCTTAGGAAGTACATATGACTCGGAAAACGTCGCGTTGGTACTTGCCATCGGTAGGTTTGGAACCCGCACTCTCATGCATGAGAAGCCTTAACCTGCTGGCCACCATGACCTATATATACACCACCTTTACTTTGTCCCCTTTATATATATAAAATTTTCTACTTTTATTTATCTAACGCCATGTCCAACAAAACTATATATAATAAATCATTTATTTCAGGCATAGGATCCCATAGTAACAAGTCACACAACGATCACAGTAATTAAAAAAATTACAGTAGAATAAAATGAAAATTACAATATAGGTATAAATAGTTTGACTATTGGATCTTCTATATTTAAATTACTATTTATTATGATAATAGTTACAATTAATTTTAAATACATAATATAGGTATGGTAGTGTGCTAAACAGATATTTTTTTAATTTAGTCTTAAATTTATTTTTATTTTTCTCTTCCCTGACTTCGTTTGGCAAATGGTTGAGTAAGTACGGGATACGCTTTTTCATTGATCGATCACCATGAACATTATGAATCCTTGGTACCTCATATTAACCAGACGACATCGTATACATACTCACTCTCCACTTTGGAGTATGCTCCAAAGAGACTATTTAAACCACTATGAATAACTGAAACGTATTATCTGAAGTGTATAATATTCATTGTGGTGTTTATACCGGTCAGTAATTCAAAGATTAAATGCCTCCTAATGACTATAAGGGGTTGGTCTGTCCAACTGTATCTTAACTTCGGCCTCGGGGGATTTCTCTATCTATTGCTTAATTAAATTACAAAGCTAGTTCTTTAATGAACTAGGTCAAGTGGAGTCAGTCTATTAGGTAGATTTGTTTCAATCTGAATTAAAATATGAATTAATTTGATTTTGTTTGTTTCCAGATCTTTGTTTGGAAAGTCGCTGATCTTAACCGGTGAGTGTGTTTTGTTTTTTTTTATTAAAGGGTGATTTCGTTTTTTGGTTTTAGTATAATGGATTATTTGATACTTAAATAGTAAATTGTGTCGTTACCTACTTCAGTTTCAAAATTCAATAATATATTTAAGAAGGTTTTAATCCTTTAAGTATATTTTTAAAATAACTTCAGTATTACTTTTTTTTAACTAAAATAAGATTCTTTTCATCCGTTCTTTCGTCTGGTCTTCGGGGAAATTAAAACGGAGAAATTCACAATGAGTAATCTTCGTGTATACAAATCAGTTTTTTATAAAAATATATAATATATTACAAAGGTTCTACAATTGGAAAAAGCGTGTAATGTACAATTACGTTTAGCCAACTTTATTCGATGACTACGCTTGAAAAAGAATAAATAGTAATGCTACGCTGTAACAAGTTTTAATTGACACAATGTTGATGGTGTCTGAATAATAACATTGGTTACATTATAATAGTTTAAAAGTAGCATTCTATGTACATATAATTTATTAACTCCTTTAGGAATCAAATTTGGGGTACATACAACCCAACATTCGAAAACACCTTACCTACTTACGCCCCTCCAAAAAAATAACCCATTTTACAAAAAGAAAAAAGAGTTTTTCGCGAAGAAACACTCACATTAACGTCTTATTTACCAAGATGGATACCTTTACAGTGGAAAATAAGCTGGGAAAATGCTAGCAAAGCATTTTGGTAGCTACTAACTTTCTAGCCGCATTTGTGGTTACATACTTATGCAAATGGGTAGTGAGTTATACACTTTATACTTTCCGGCGTCGCTTACTATGAATGTTTATGGGTCTTTGATAGTGATATAAACACTATGATACGTATACTGGTTTGAAGCAAATGTGACATGTACCTTTTTTCTATTAAAAAAAACGTTGCCCGGTATAGAAATTTTTCCCTTTGTCCTAGGTACGTTTACAAACTTAGTTTCACAAACAGATGACTGTCAGACCTGAAACGATAATCTGTGGATCACAATAAGACTTAAATCGTGCGCAAATCGAACATACGATACGTTGCATGACAGCCCAGCCTCCGCGCCAACCATGCAGTCAAAATGTTTTAAATGTTTAAATACTATGTATAATTATGATAAAAATTGTAGGTTATAAATTAAAGCAGTTTTTTAGGTAGAAAATAGAAAAAAAACATTTTTTACTCGCGACTTTATTTCTTATTCTATATTGATAAAACTTTTTTCATTTAAAACATTACTTTGACTTCGAAATCTAGATAGAATACAAAAAAAATGTGTTATGAAAATTGTTCCATAAGTAAAGTAAAGAAACAGAATTCCAGATACAATTTTGAATTTTCTATACTGAAACTCATACACTGAAAACCAAAGCCTTTCCCAAGTAGGATATTGTCACAGACATTGGAAACGTTAATGCCGATCTGAATTTCAGGCACTTTAGGTAATGTTCCAGATATCTAGGAAACACTTCTGGAATAAAAGCATTTTCTGTTAAGTCCTTTTCACATGTTTAGTGACGTACATACATTTGGGTCTAAAATACGTATAAAGCAAGAAGGTGAGTTGAGAATCGTTATCAAGTTATATTATGAAGGTATTTTGGTTGGTAACTTTAATGTAGTTTTCGAAATAACATAACATAACATCACGCCTTTTATCCCCGAAGGGGTAGGCAGATATACATTATGCCACTGTACAATGTAACACCCACTTTTCACTATTTATGTTATGAGTCCCATGTAATAGGGGGTGAGTCTATTGCCATATACCGGGCACAATTCCAGACTTCGTGCTACTACTGAGAATTTATAAAAACCCAGTAGTACTTTGCCCGACCCGGGAATCGAACCCGAGACCCCTTGGCAGTCGCACTTGCGACCACTCGGCCAACGAGGCAGTTTTCGAAATAGATAATATAATAATAACCTAACCGTTAATCACTAATAGTAACAATATTACATTTGTATCATCACGTAACTGTTTGACGAGGAACTTGACTAGTTTAAAAACCATGCTAGAGGCACGAATCACGGTAGAGGGTGCGTTGGGCGCGCACCGCCGCAGAGTCGAGCTGTCAGTAGCAGCGCGACAGTCGCCGCTTTGCGGGTCGCGGAATGCTGCTCATGAATATGAGCCTCTATCATGGGTTGCAACTAGTCGAGTTCCTCATCAAATAGTTACGTGAGTAAGCCGAAAACAATACATAATAATTAATATTACATTTGTCTTATTTACAAAAAAATAAGAATAAATAAATAATATTTTAGTAAAATAATACATAATGGTATAATATTTCAATTATTATGAAACAGTTATTGTTTTATATTTATATATATTTGATGGAGCGACGTTTGACCACTATCTCGCCTGGTGGTAAGCGATGATGCGGTCTACGATGGAGCACGTCGACCCATAAGCAACCTATTTACTCGGGCCTTGAATACTCGTAGGTTACCCTTCAGGAAATACAGACTCTGGCAAAGAATTCCACTCTTTAGCAGTACGCACAAGGAAGCTTGAAGCGAAGCGCTTCGTGCATGTGGGTGGAACATCTACCATAAATCGGTGACGCTTCGCCGATTGTCTTGTGGTACGATGATGGAAAGGACTAGAAAGTTTTTACATTAGTCTACTCAGTTATGGATTATGGATATGGACCTCATATAGAAAATACTAATAAAAACAACTATACCAGTGCTTGAAATAATCCAAGATAAATAACAAAAATACAATACGTAACCTAAAAAATGAAATCTAACCAACAATCTTGAGCTGACACCACTACTAGACCAACAAAATTACATTTGTGTCGAACAATAAATTATTTATGGTTATTTTTATTCTGGCAATACCGATTACTCCATTCCATATCAGTGTTGCCATATGGAGGGTGGGGGGAAAATATAATATTATATTGGACACGTTTTCTTACATGTAGTTTCTTCTGGCATTCTCATTCACGACAGGAATGTCAATTGAGCTTTACGTGATAGTTTTCTCAATAAGATGAGTGGATTACGTCATAACTTTGGTTTGATTGTCTGTGATGAATTTGTGTAGAAGAAAATTAGGGTTTGGCCTTATTCTTCTTTGGCAATATGTGGTCAACATTGGAGTCCATTTCTCTCTTTCAAATTTTGTTCTCAAGTTAATAGTTTTTAACCTGGTCATCAACTTTCAGTTTCTGTTTATTGTTACTAGACTTATATCCTTTTTACACGAAGAAGCGATAAGTATTAAACCATGCTTGCTCAAGGCAGATTTTCAATTTTTTACTTATAATATGAAATTATAAGTGTAGGGTTTCTCACGACTATTATTTATTTAATTTTGCACATTTTGTTTTTCCATAGCACAGAAAGTATGATCATAGATATTATAGCTAAGTTATGATGTGAATGATTACCGTATTAATAAATATTTTCAATACAGACTAAACCAAACGAGTACTTGGGTAACTTACTAAAGTATTGTCGGTGAAAACATTAAAATGTAGGCCCATGTTGATTTATTACTTGTTCAAGCCAAAAGTTAATTAAAGGGTTAGCTGGACTTTACAAGACTGTAATTAATAATTTTTGTTGTTAATTTACTACTTGGTGTTTTAGTTTTAATATTCATGATACAAACACTGAAAGTATTAAGGTCTAGAATAAAAAGGCAACTACAAAAAATATGGCGTTGAAAAAAGAAACACGACAGGAAAATAAATAAACAAAAAACCATTTTCTAACTCGTTTACTATTGAAACACTATTCTAAAACTAACAAAACGGAACGAACCATTTTCCTGGCCGAATGCAATGAATAAAAAAAAACAAAACAAAAGCATCATGGCCGCACGTCACGGATTAAACTATACGGAAAAATGAAAAGATAAAAAACCAGTCAGGTGCGAGCGGACTCTCGGAAAAAAGGGTTCCATACCATCCGTTCATAATTATTCATTAGAGCAATCAAATTATTGTCAGAAAGTGTCATCATCCATATAAGTTTTTTTTTTTGATGAAATAAATGCTTTTTGTGTTTTATAAAAGAGATTAAAATCAGCTTTCTTATTTGAAAGCACCCATACTTATTTTATTTATAGTATTTGTTGTTATAGCGGCAACAAAGACGTCTATAACTGTCTATGACTATCTACGTAAAATAGATTAGACGTATTGTAATAACAAAAAAATGTATGACAAGAGCACGGACCAAGAGTCGGTGGAGAATTAATTTGTCACATTATAAAAAAAAACTGTCTAGATATTACGGCTTGTGAGAAATAGACTGACGATGGACAGCAAAGTTTAAGTAATAGGGTTTCCGTTGTACCCTGTTTTTTGAGGGGTGACATATCATCAAATGACTTCTTCCGCCTTGAATGAGGCTGACTGACTGAAACTACTCCTGCTTCGACCCGTTTTTATACTTTCGGTACGGTACCCTAAAAACATCGACTTTGTTGACAGAGTTATCGTGTCCGGACAAAAGGCATGACCTATTCCCGGCCACTGCAAAATGAAATATCGTCACTCGTCATTCAATAAAACCGTGAATCCGAGGCTTCACTGCTATCGTATATTTTGTTTGTGCTTTTCCGACCTTTTGTGTGGAAATGTTATGAATTTGCTTTGAATTTCAATGTTTTTGACGAGGCGATAAAGTATTGTGGTTTATTTTATCGTATTTAACAGCATAAATCTAAAAGTTATGATGATAAATTTGTTTTCAATACAAAAAAAAAATAAGACAAACCTATGCCTGTAATATTAGAGTACTTTCTAAGTAAAAAGAAGATAAGAATCATATTCGATTATCATAAACATTTTTAGAGATGTCATTATGTCAAATCTCTTAAAAAGAATTACTACAATTATAAATGTTTTTATTTACATTGACTTCATTCTATAGAGAGGCAACAAAAAAATTATATATAAAACTGTAATAAAATTTCAACACACACCTATCAATAAATCATCACAAATGTTCCAAACTCGA